TTTTTGGTTCTTTAGGTATCGTGTTGATGTCTTAAGTTAATTTTTGCATTGTCAATCAGGTTTGCAGAATTCAGTGTGTCTATTCTTTGTATATATGTATATTTTAGAGAAGGCAGCCACACAAGAAAGATGGGTAAGTGTATACGACACACCATTCTAGATGGCGAAAACATTTAGGATTGAAACTAACCAATCAAAAATAGGACAGTTCCTGATGAGGTCTGCACACCCAATTCTTTGTTAAAAGAGCGGTTTCTGATTGGCAGAAAATCCTTAGGTGGCCTGGTTGAAGTTGTCCAACTGCAACTCTAAATTATAATTAAATCCAAGTTGAGCAAACTAAGCTGATCAGTGTTGTCTGTATATAATTTTCAAAACATCCTAAAGTAGCAACTCTCCCCGGAGAGCTCCGGAAGTAAAATATTTCCCCCAGTGGAGCCCGGAAGTGTCAAAAATCTGTCAGGAACATGCACAGTGATATTTATAACTTGTACACATGCGCAACCGGATGTGAGAAAATTTTTTAACGGCTACTTCCAGAGCCCCTCATTTCAAGACCACGTGACCAAAAGGAATGACAGGCTCTTGGGATCACAATGAATAATTATCAGTATCCTAGGCTGCATTCATTATATATACCAAGGGGGGATTTTTGGGGGGGATCTTAAAATTTTATGAAGGGGAAAGGAAGGATGGTAAAAATTTCTGAAGGCAGGAAGGGGGAGATGCCATTGAAAGATTTAGTATTGTAATGTAATTGATGAACAACTACATAAGAGAGGTTCCTGATTTTCTAATGTCCTTTACTTTGTGCAGTAACCAGTTTTATCTACATTATCATAATCACCTTTACTTTTCTCCTGCTTTAATTAATAATGTCACAGATTGTCTCTTTATCATCATCATCACCATCATTATCATCACAATTAACCATTTTTTTTCATTTTTTCTTTTGGTCATGAGGGGAAGATGTCAAAAAATTCTGTATGATGTGGGAGGGATATGAAAAATTTTTGCCCCTTTAAAAAATATCCTCTGCCCTTCCCCCTGCAGTATACATAATGAATGCAGCCTTTCTTAGCGATTAAACGGTGAATTTGATGGGGTTTTATGTTCTTGGAAAGACTGTCTGAAGTTTTTATACATCTAAGAATGTGTACTCAAAAATGACATGACTTGTTCTTGAGATAGTCAGGAACAACCTTTACCTTCACTAAAACAAAGTTTGCTTCTTCAGGAATGTCTGTAATATTAATTAGGCAATAGAAGACTTTTTTGGTGTTTGCATGGCCTGATGCAAACACCAGAGGGTGTTG